GAGTAGAGAGTTTATTTTTTCTTACACAAAATCTGTTTCATTCATAATTATTAATTAACATAATTTCATTATCGTTTAATAATGTAAAGTTACACTAGTAACAATGTTTTTTGACATAATAAATTTTATACATTTGTCATTTTGATAATTGCTGAAAAATGATAAACAATTATTACAGAACACTATTGTTAAGTCACTTGATGACTATTTGAGTCGTTTGTAAATTCTAAGAATTGGTACCTGGAAATAATTATGAAATTATATTGCTTAAAGTGATTGCACAATAATTTATAACAGTGATATAGAATATAAAATTGTACGACAGCATGATAATACCTCACGATGATTAATTGTAGTTACCTTGAAAGTTTAAGAGCTTTACTATTTACTTAAGATTACAACGACGATCATATATGTACGTGAAACCCGATTTTCTGGTTCCAACGATGAAAATGATAAAATCCCAAGAACTATCTGGTCTTTGAATATCACATTTATTATTATTCAAAGACCGTGTAACTTGCAATGTCATGGTATTAAATGTCATTGAATTTTATTAAAATGCAATGAAGATCAAATATCATGGAACAATAGTTGAGGTTATGTAATACACCGTAGAAAAAATGTGGCGAGAAATAAAGCTATTACCTTAGCACTGTCAAGAGGATACATCACACAATGTTCCATAATTCCAGCAAATGCACCTGCTGTCATGTGTACAGCCACGGAAGACGTAGGCAAAGACTCGTAAACATCCGTATTCATATTTCTGAAGATGCTTCAATGCGATTTCCAGTTCACGGCTTTAAAATGCCGCAATTCCTATATGCACTGTCTTGAAGCAGACAACACGCTTTCGGCAATAACTGATGCCGTATTACCGTTTATGTAGCAGCATTTGCTTTGTAACCGCCGAAACGTTCATTCAAGAAAAGACGAGAGTAACATTCGTTCTTTCGGAATGATGAGACGCAATAGTATTAGCTGATCGTGTCTTAATGGAACCGGACTGGAATTGAAAAGGCTGCTACCCTCGATAGGCAAATTTACAATGTATAATCCCCCTCCACTTATTCACGCCGGAAAGAAATTATTACATCTGCTTACACTACTTTCTTGAAATACAGGGACATATGGCATTTACATCCGATTGTTTATTTGAATCGTTACGAAACTCGATACATACTGGCATTCTTCGCGATACGGTTACGAATCGTCATACGTACTTTGGTGAGGTTAGGTGTACGCGCACGTGTCACGCATGCGTCGTATGCAACCACGTGGTTTATGCGTGCAGTATATGCTACGCAGTAGTGAATTTAAGTAGTCTGATTACTGTGCAAGCATGCTATGCATGCACATGAACACGCATGATAATGCATTCGTTCAATGGATGAAAAAGATGGACCATTGGATTTACGTGGTTTCAAACCGCAAAATAAGTCTTTTCACACAATTATCCAAGGTTTTCCTATTTTTTTAGATACCATTACAAGTTTCCTATCTCACATTTTTAACATTTTACCTTAATGCACCTAATTGAAATTCTTCAAGTTTCTCTATTGCCTACAAAGCATGACTAAGTTATAAATTAAAATAAATATTCATTGTAAAGTAGTTATTTTTTAACAATACAAATTCATGTTATTTTTACAAATGTTATCGTTTAATATTTATTTGTTCTATGCTGTATATTGCTGTATATTTCAAATAAAAATGATTTTTATATAACTAAAGTTATGATAATAACAAGAGTATTTGTATTTTATTCGTTCAATGTCAGAATTCAACCTAAAGAAAGTTTATCGCGTGATACATGTACATAAATGGTTAATGGCGTTGAAAAATTTAATATTTGTTTGGTTTAAATTTTGTAGTTCATAACACTTTGCAGACGATTCTACATATTCTAGACAATGCATATGTTGTACAAACACGTACAAGGTCGTGATATGTAACGTATGACAAACTGTTCACATATTGTCGTTCTATTTATAGAAAATATCGTAATTACGATTTATTATGTATTATACTTTCCAAAAATATAGTGCTTCACGAAGATCATTCAACCGAAAGTCATATTAATTTGTCTCCTTCCTCACATAAAAATTCATCTTATGACATATGTTTTGAATAATACACAAAGGTCTTTGCTCGCACTGCATATGGATCTATGAGGAGGCCGGTTAAATGGCAAGGTCGATTACTATAGTTTTACTTGAGTTGAAAGAAAACAGGAAAATTTGATATGTGTAATTGAAACTTTTAATACCTAACTTAATTAATTATTTAACAACTGTTTCCTATGTTTCCTAATTATTTCTCTACCGGTTCTTATTTTTTCCTTTGTGGTTAAGTATTCTGTAATGACATCATCGTACGTATACAATTACGTGCAATTTCATTACGTCCGTATCATTAGTAACGTTTTCCAGATAAAATGAAAGCTTTTTTTTTTTAAACTCGATACTACTTCTAGTTACGAAAATTCCAGTTAAAACATGTAAGATATAGTACGATTTCTTGTTTAGACATTTAAAATTAAAGGAAGGTTTTAAATATTTATGGACTGTTTAACATGTATACAAAAAATCGCTTTATTTTAAAGCAATTATAGTAGTAATTGGTTTTATAAATTTTTAGTTACTATATTACATATGGCAATAAATATTTTAAAAAGTTGGAAAAAATATTCTACAATATTTTTACAGTAATAAAGTGTAATGTACTCCCGTTTATATACACATTTATACAAAATTATCCATGTACAGAATAAAGAACACGCTTATTAATAAATGTAACATTCTCTGTAAAAATTTAATATTACAATTTTTAAGTATTGAGTAAAAAGTGATGCAATGTACAATTCTTAATGTCAAAAAAAAAAACAAAAAAAACGAATGATTTCACTGCATTGCAATTTCTTGTTGCTATTATTTCATTATTTCTTAAAAAAAAAAAAAAAAGGAAACTATTGCTTATTTTTATTTAACATCACAGAGCAATTGATTTTAGTTTCTATCCTTCTTGCTGAACTTAATTATAAAAAATTTGCCAGTAAAATATATCGAGAAATGTAAGCAATATTATTATATTTATAAAATGCTTATATTATCAGAGTGTACGACAATTTTTCAAACATAATATC